GCGCTTTACACAATTGATGTGTGTATGGATTGGTATAACAGTTGTATGAGCCCCTAATAAAATGTTAAAAAAAAAAAAAAAAGAATGAATTCTGCCAGCTGACACTAAATACTTATCTTCACAGATTTTGCTCTGTGTTGTCCTGTCTGTCACCAGGACTTACTACTGTCTGAGGAAGCAAGCCTGCAGGAGTCTCCAAGCTACTGCATGATGTATGGATTTTGACTTACCAGCCCTCACAATCATGTGAACCAGTCCACAATCCACTGGAGGAAAAACCAAAAAACCCTCCGTATCTGTAGACACTCCCACACACTCACATGCTGGTTCTGTTCTCCTAGAGAGCCCTAAGACAGTAACCTTGGTGCGAAGCCCACACCGAGGCTCCATGACGTTTGATCAATGCATGCATAGGTTTAGTTTTCATTTCCCCACGCCTTTTCTCTCCACAGCCTCTCTACGCCTACCTATGAACTCCCTGCCACCATCTAATTAACCCGTCTTGAGTGCTCTGTGCAAAAGCCTGCTCAGGTATCTTCAGCCACCTCCTGTTGCTCTAGGCAGGAAGCCAGCATTCCGCTGGATGCCTTTGTTAATCCATCCCATCCTGAATGCTGCATTTTCATCTGTAAAACATACTGTTTTAGCTTTATCCGCTACTTGTTCTAGGAAACAAACGTTGCTTTTGATTTTTACCTCTGCCCGGCCCTACATTCTTTTGCATTTGCAAGACAAAAGGGTTAGCTTCTTCTTACTTGTAGACTGTACTCCTGTCATCCCCTCCGGTCAAATCTGGTTTATCCTTCAAGATCAGGAAGCTCCCGGGCAGACAGCTCAGCTACAAGTGAACACCTCCTCTCCCTGTGCCTTTTTAGTACTTCGATGACCTTGGAAGGTCATTTCACCCTTTCTCCCTTCCTGTGGCCTGTTTCAGTACGGAAACTATGGCTAGGAGTTCAAGACTCAGTTTCTTTCATCTTCCTTGCCATGATGGGTCCAGGGATAGATTCTCAATTCCTAGATGGATTTACTTTTAATTTCGTACACCCTGGATCAGCTCATATCCCCTGAAACGAACTGCAAGGGCAATAGTTCAAGATTACCAGCTGCTCTCGGGAGAAAGACGAGGCTTTCTAGTCCCATAAAGAGAGAGTGACAGTCTCAGAAACCCACAGGGCCAGTTCTACCCAGTCCTATCGGGTCGCTATGAGTTGGCACTGACTTGACGACAGTGAGTTTGGTTTTTTTGGTTTGGCACCTGGTATCTGACTAACATATGGTCTGAACATCTGCCTTTTCTCTCTTTTGCCAGCTGCATTAAGAAAAATGTCTACTATGTGTTTAAAAATGTTCAACTTGAGAATGACATGACAATGCATGATTTTATTGTACTAGTACAACCTGGCGGAATAAAGAATGCAAACGTAATGTATCTAGTAGGAACAGACTAAAGGAACTCAGGACTCCTGTGCTGTGAGGTGAGAGGAGGCTACACTCCTGAACTGTGACTCACCAGGGGAACCATTCTGCTGCTCTGCACCAGGAGGATGGCAGCCTAGGCGACCCTAGCAAGTCGTTCTACTCGGTCATAAAGGTTGTCAAATCAAATTGATTCTAGAGTTCACAACAGCAACAAATGGGAATAGCCCGACTGTGTAGTGGTCAAAGAGAATATGGTAATAAATGACTTGCAAACTACAACTCAGATATGATCTCATTGTATATGCCAGCCCCTCCAGATGTGCAAATCAATACCACTTACCTCCATTCCACGGTATATAGCTTGAAAATCAGAGAAGAAAAGGAAAATTGTCAGGCCCAAGGCTGATATAAGGAGAAATGAGAAGATGTCTGTGGAAACACCAAATAGCACTTTAAGATACTACAAAGTATTTCAGACAATTTGGCACACATTACCGAAATCTCACTGTTGGACAAATACCAGATACATCTCCAGATGTTTTAATATGTCCCCGCATATGGTGAAAAAGGCCCCAACGCTTACAGAAGAGAGGGCGTATCCTAACATCTTGCCTTGGAAAGCTGGGCAGAGGATGTTGTAAATAAAATCCATTATAGTGACCTCCATTCTGCAGGTCACTCAACTGAGTGCTCATGGGGGGTGGGGAGGGGATTGCAGAGATGCAGTGCCATGAGAAGCCATCTAAGTCACGATAGGGGCACGTGCACTATCCTTGTTTGCCTGCTGTGTTCTACACACGGGAGGGAACGCTCATCCCTCTTGGTACCGCCTCATCCTGTTTTGTCTAAGGAACCCAGTCTGTGACTCTGCAGCTGATCATTCTAGACCTTCCACCAACTGGTCCCAGTGTCTGAAACTGATCCCTGACTCTTCCACCTTATGTGTAATAGGAAGTGGAACTGCAACGGCCGCACCTCCCAGAGAGACCCAACTTTTCCCAATTTCTGTGCTTCCGCTCACAGAATACCCTGTGGAGACATTCTTCCTGTCTTTGGGAAGGTCCAATCTTCCATAGCTCCAACAACTGAACTTCAGTGACACTTCCTCTTTAAGGCCTCCTAAATCCTCGCTTATGCATTATTTGTAATGTACATATCAGTTAGATTTTGTCCACTTGAAAATTACTTTCTATCTGGTTTGGGGGACACTGAATTAAAGGAATAAATGAGTATAGAGCATGCTTATCTGCTGCGGTCTTTATTTCCAACCTGTTCAAGATGCTTTATTACAGTGAGTCAATTTCCCAGGATGCACTGTCCCCAAATCACTGTTCATATGCCCCAATTGTATTACGTCAGAGCTTTTAGCAGAGTATTTTGTAGATGGTGCCTTGGGACTGTTTCCTGACAGGATTATAGCACACGAGGTCACTATGAGCTTGCAAACAAGGAGGAGTGTTTAATCAGTGTCGCCAAGAGATATTGTTGTGGCCATTGGGTCAGTCCATCTCCGTTAGGGTCTTTCTCTGTATGGCTGCCCTTTTATTTGACCAAGCATGATATTCTGTTCCTGGGACTTGTCTTTCCGGATGACAAGTCCAAAGTACATGAGACAAGACCAGCTTAAGGAGCATTCTGACTAAACTTCTGAGACCGATTTATTTGTTCTTCTGGAAGTCCATGGTAATTTCAGTATTCTTCCCCAGAACCATAACTCAAATGCATTGATTCTTCTTTGGTTTTCCTTATGCCATTTCTAGCTTTCCTATGCATGTAAGACCATTGAAAAGACCATAGCTTGGGGGCGGTCCCACCTTGGTCCTCAAAGTGACAGCCTTGCTCTTTAATCCTTTAAAAGAGATCTGGAATGGAAGATTTTTGCTCAGTGTAATATATCCTTTGACTTCTTGACTGCGCTTCTATATGCATTGTTGTGAATCCAAGCAAGATGAAATCCTTAACAATTTCCATCTCAAGTCTGCATTATCAACACCAGTAATAAATGTCAGGCAATTGCCCCTCTACAGCAGGTTTGTCTTTGAAGCCAGAAGTTTTATTTTCACCCTTGACCCACTATGCCTACCCTCCTATTCATTCACATATCACTTTATGCATACAACTAGATATCACAAGGCATTCCTGAATAGTGAAAATGGTTAGCAGATCCAACTGCTAGCCCCAAGAGTTGAAGTTTGAGCCCACCCAAAGGCACCTCAGATAAAAGGGAGGCCCACTGCGGAAAAGCCAGGCATTGAAAACCCTGTGGCACACAGTGCTCCTCTGACATACTGGGGCCACCCTGAGTCGAGACTGACTCCACAGCAGCGGGTTCCAGGCAGCAGGTGTGTCCCACTTTTTCCAGGGACTAGAAGAGAAGTAGAAGCAGAGAGGAGAAAAGCGGACAATGCAGCTATCAAAATAACGCATTGTGGAATAGCTCGATGCTAAGAAGACCGTAGGCAGAGTCTTGTTCCTTTCTTTGTTTTGGATTCAAGGGATCTACGGGCTGGAGAATAAGAGGGTGTGCCATCTTGACCATGGCCACATACTTACTGCCAACTGGGTTCAGTGTTGTGCCCACATCTGCCTTCAGATGAATGATCTGAAAAGCAGGGCAGGCCCACGCACAGGAGAGCAAAGGGTAACAAAACAACAAGGTCCGTTAAGTTCTGCTTTGATTGAGAAGCAACATGAAAAATTAAAGTGCATATCGCCCTCCTCAGTTAATTGCCATTGATGAGCAAAGCGGAATAGGGCTTTGTTGGGAAGACAAGTCCTATGCTGGTCATTACAGCTTATCTTCAGATAAGGAAAGACCTAGCGAATATTCCCATATCTGTTTCTTTCATTTTATATCCATACTTTTTCTGGGTCTGGTCATTGTCCAGTTGAGTTTCTGCTGGAGTGGCGAGGAGGGCAAAAGCCTTCCTGTTATATTAAATGAAGTTGCTTATATGTTTCCAGAGCAGTTTCAAGGACTGTTGACTTGTAACCTTGAGAGTATATGATCATTATATGATTACACTTGGGATGTCTGTTTATAAAACGTTTTTCATTTAAAATTATTTGGAATATTGCACATAGGCATTTGAGTTTATACACAAGCATTATTATTATACAACTACTGCAATAGCTTTATTTAACTCACATAAAAGGACCCAGCACCTGACCTTAAAATTAGAGTGTTAGCCAAGTGCAGATATCCCCCTTGAAATGTATTTACAATAATATAAAAAAGGAATTCACCTTAAAACATGAAGCATCTCAATTTGTTGGGACTGAAGCCAAAGAAAGGCATCATCAAATATTTCATCAAAAGTTTTAAAAAATATTAAATATGCAAGAAGTTTATAGGAAATATAAAATTAGAGGTTGATCTTAGCATGCTCTTAAAAAGTGTAATGGACCAACTGTACAAAAACGTAGGTCAACAGACTTCAGCCCAGTGTGCCAAGAGGTGAAAACAACATACCAACATGTACCAGGGAACCAATAGAGAGGTCTG